GGGTACACTGAATGGCTACGCGACGCAGACCCTTTGGCTGTTGCCTAGACCATGTAAGAGAGAGGGGAGAGGGTGATGGCTTGAAAGGAGCAAACAAAGAAAAAAGTACAAGCAAGAAAGAAAATAAAAGTAAGGAAAAAGTATCAACAAGAAAGAAAGTGAAAGGAAGAAAAAAGCACAAGCAAGAAGGAAAGTAAAATCAAAAAAAAGCGAGCGAAAAACTCGTCACCGATAAGGAACACTTCTACGTATAAAGCTGATGCTTGGGTGAAGAAAGCTGAAGCGAATAAGGCAAAGCTAATGCTTAGGTAAAGCTGAAAGCTCTCAGCTTTACATAAGCATCAGCAATTTGATCCCTCAACTTTACCTAAGCATCAGCAATTTGATCCCTCAGCTTTACATACGCATCAGCAACTTGACCTTTCAGTTTTACCTAAACACCAACAATTTGATCCCTCAGCTCTACCTAAGCATCAGCTTCATAAATAAGGAGGCTTTAGGTAAGCGAAAAACCCGTTATCAGTAAAGGACTTCCCCATTTATAAAGCTAATGCTTAGATAAAGCTGAGGGATCAAACTGCTCGTGCATAGGTACAGTGGTGAGCTCGCAGCTTTACCTAAGAATCAGTTTCACCTTATTGGCTTTCAGCTTTCTTTGCCTAACATCAGCTTTATGAGTGGGATGTCCCCCATTTATGGCGAGTTTTTTCGTTTGCTTTTCTTGCTTTTGCTTTCTTTATTGCGTGTACCTTTTTCTTTCTTTTATTTTCTTTCTTGCTAATACTTTCTTACCCTTCGCTTCCCTCTCAGTTATTGTTAGTTTCCACCCATCTGCTGTTTTGCGCTCGTAGAGCTATCTGATTGGACTGCTTGCGTTCTACTGTGCAACTAATATGTTGCTAACATTAACTAGATTATGTATCGCTCATAGGGATTTACCTTTTTATGCGTTTTTTGCTGTGTAACAGCAGTTGTCTGTATGTGTATGCTTGTGTGTGTGTTCCAGATTTTGTCCAGCACTTTCAGCTCAGGAACCACAAAAACTAGGGGGCTGAAATTTTAGAGTGTTTTCTATCCACGTGTGGCCCCGCAAATTTAAATTTAGCCTTCCCGTGCCTGCGAGTAACATATGCGGTCCCGTGAAACTTTTGGCGGGTAAACTACTATCTCGAGAACCGCGGGATCTAGAAGACTGGAATTTTAGGATAATGACTCCCTGCCCGCGTGCGACCCCGCAGATTCAAATTCAGCGTTCCGACATTCTCGAATATCACTTACGGCTCTTTGCAAATTTCAGCGGTTAAATTATCTCAGTAGCCACAAAAGCCAGGAAGCTGAAATTTTACGGTAATGTCCCCGCCCATATAC